TGTTTAAATTCTCCTAGCCCTTTGCCTGGAATTAGTTTCATTTTATACTTCTGATTATAACCTACAGTATCTTGCTTACCACTCTGTGCTTTTCCCCAACAGCCACCTCCGCAGATATATGATAAGCAGCTGGACGAAAGAGAACACACAATCGAAGAGTGGAAAGGTAATCTTGTTTTTGAAGGATGTTGACCTGATTCCTCAAAGGACATAATGTGGGCTGTCTTAAGACTCTAACTTTCTGCCTCTCCCACAACACTGTCTTTCTCCGCCTTCTTTCCAGAGCTGCTCATGCTGCTTGCTTATGATACTGTGATCATGATATATATTGCTTATGACATGTCCGTGTGGTGTATATTCCTTCTGGCACTCTGTCTTCAGCAGGGTAGGTCATAAGCACTAACCCAAGATTATTGTGCTTTCTAGCAATGCCAAGAAACCTGAAGAAGTAGGCTGGCCAGTGTCAACATGTGTACAGTGGTGCCTCGCTAGACGATGATAATTCGTTCCACTGAAATCGTTGTTTTGATCAACAATTTCTGGCATTATATTCAGCAAAAACATTTCTGGTGTAAAAGCTATTTTTTGTTGTATAATTTCTTGTGTCGTACCTTTTATCTGTCTCCAAAATCTTTTTACTTGATCACATGTCCACCACATAGGAAAGAAAGTTCCACATTGCTGAGAATACTTCCAACACAAGTTGCTAACCCCTGGTGCCATTTTTGCCAGTTTTACAGGTGTAAAATGCCATCTATAAAACATTTTAAAAACATTTTCTCTCAAGTTTACCAATTGTCTATATCTATATTATAACCAAATTTTTGTGCCCATTTAATCATCATTGCTTTCACCCTTTCATCCTCTAAATTATATTCTAACAAAAAAGTATACATTTTTTTGTACAATCGATTCACTAGCGTAAATCCATAATACATCCACCTGCATGTTCCCCTCATAAAAACCCATTATTTTGTCTTTTGTAAACCTTGATTCTAATTTTAACATTGCCCACCGGTCCGTCTGTAGACCCATATCCATCAGCTCCTGTATATTTTTAAATTGTTGCTCTTTAGTTAAGAGGTCTTTTATATGTGTATCTCCATTCTTTCAAAATTAAAGAAAGTTGAGTAAAAGCTTCCAAAGGTGCTACCCATATCGGAATTTTTTTATATGTTTGTCCCTGAAATTTTTGCCAAATCTGGTATAGTGCGTTCCTTACAATATGATCAGGAAAAAGGTGTTTGATCTTTGCCTGTGCCATAACATAGGTATGCATGCCATCCTAATCTCAAATCATGTCCTTCCAATTTTAAAAGTCTTTGGTCCTCCAAAATAATCCATTCCTTAATCCAGTTCAAAGCACAAGCTATATAGTAGGCCATTCCTTTATCCAGTTCAAGGCACAAGCTTTATAATATACTGTAGTAGGCAATTTGGTAAGCCCATTCCTGCTCTTTCTTTTAAGTCCTGTAAAGCTTTGAGTTCTATTCTCAGTTTTTTAGCTTGCCGTATAAACTTAGCGAATACAGTGTCTACCTCCGTAAAATATTTATAGTTCAACAGGACTGGCAAATTTTGAGACAGGAACAAAAGCTTTGGTAAAATGCTCATCTTTGTAGTAGCAATTTTACCCAACAATGAAAGTTCCAGTTTACCCCAAGTTTCCAAATTTTCCTATGTTTCTTTAAGTATTGGAAGTATCAGGGTGCTTGTTTTTTTAATATACTCCCAAATATTTAATTTTTGATGTGTGTTCAAAGCCTGTTTCTAATTCTATTTTTTTTTTGCTGCTTCTTGTGTCATATTTTTGTCAAGAATTTGTGTTTTTTTTTCATAATTCAGTTTAAGTCCTGATACTGCACCAAAGTTTTCAATTGTGGATATTAATTCTTTAATCGGTTCCTCCGGGTTTTCTAGCAATAGTACCAAATCATCAGCATAAGTTTGTAATTTATATTCTTCTCCTTTTATTCTCAACCCCCTGATTCTGGAATTTTGCCTTATTTGTCTGTTTTGGGGCTCTTCTTACGTTCTTACATTCTTAAGTCCGGACTGAAGTGCAATGGCCAGATTTGGTTCCAAAGTAGGAAAAAAGAACCACTGATGCATTTTTTAAATAGCTGGTTCATTTGTCTCTTGCAGAATTAATCTACAAGGAAGTAATGAACTCTGAAGAAAAGACCAAGAATGGTGTAGTAAAAGGACAACCTTCTCCCTCAGGTACTCAGTCCCAGTGAATAACATTATGTTCGCTGCAGGGACCATTTTACAGAGATGGATTTTCACTTGCTCATTAATATACAATAGTCAATCAACGGAGAAATCAGTATTAGCTCCATATCAGTGAACGTTACTCAATTTTATCTTGTTTGTGGTTTGGCTTCATGTGTCGTGGGCAAAATGAACTATTTACTTTCCAGGTTTAGTTTTATACCATTTTGATCCCATTTAAATCCAACATTCATTTTATTTGTAACTTTTTAATGGGCCAGTATATGTATTGCCCTACTTGAACTGTATTTTTAAAAAGCATGTCTAAGTCTAGGACTATAATCCTGCATGTACAGTGGTACTTCGGTTTACGAACGCCTCGGTTAACGTAATTTTCGCTTTACGAATGAAAATCCATTGAAAATAATGCCTCGGTTTACCATTTTTTTCCCGCAATACAAAGCAAGTTTCCCCAGGATGCATTGCACCTGGGAGATTTATAGGAATGCACCCTCCATGCATGCATTCCTATGGGAAACCACGTTTTGGTTTGTGAATTTTTTGTAATCCGAAACATCCTGGAGAACACATTAAATTCGTAAACCGAGGTACCACTGCACATTTCTGGCAGTAAGTCCCTCTGAAGTTGAGTAGTTTTGAGTAGACATGTGTAGATTTGCTGTTGAAGTCTGGAAAATTACAGTTTTGGGAGTTGCAGCCAGGAAAAGTAACTTTTCCAAGCTCTGCCTGAAGTGCAACTATTTAATTATTGATCTCCATAATTTTGATCTGCTCCCCACATTTTCCTACTTGGTTTGAGAGTAGGTTTTGATGAATTAGAGAGGTACAAGCCAGGGTAGTATGTTAGCTCCATCTACTGGTGGGGTCTTTTCACCCACCAAAATTGCCTGTTGCTGTTTCTTCCACTCCTCCTGGCTAGAACTTGGTGGAGAAAGAGCAAGACGTTATCTGTCTGGCAGGCGAAGGACCTGCTGATGGAGAAGAGGGAGAAAAGGTGGACCTCTCCAGAATGTGCATTTAGTTCTTGCCACCCTGAAGATTAGAGAGAGGAGCATGGGAGTCAAAAGCCCTTTTCAGTTTCTCTTTCTGTGTCTGCCCTCAAGTAGACTCACACATGCAAAACACCTTCCAGGCAGTTAGCAATGAAAAGCCAACAGAAATCTCCCAGTCCGTTGCCAGATTACCATGGGAGATGTCAAGAATTTCTCAGTGCCATTCAGCAAGTTCTTGTAGAGTCAAAAATGAAAGGCAGAATGTACAGGTTTGATTTAAGAGCCTTCGATGCCCTTGCCCAACTCCTGTCTTTTGGGTAATGTAATGTATATCAGAATAAATCTTTGTTCGTGAGCAGATTTGTCATATAGAGCAGCCCTTGAATTAGGTGATTTATGCATAACAATAACACAGTCGGTTTATAAGAAGATGTAATTTGGAGGGGTTAATTAAGGACTAGATTTTTTTTCGTAACATGGGGCATCTTTCCTATTGATACAGTACTTATGCTTCTGCAAGCCAGCGTAGTATTTACTAGAGGTTTGTAGATATTGGTTTTTTGGGGTTTATAACTGCCAGAATTCTCCTGGTTGTATTTAATATTTACCTAATTCCTTGGGCGTTGATGTGGGTTGAAATCCACTTGGAGAAATTACGGTGGCATAAATGGCGATGATGTCATCAACCTGCAATGTTTCTGCTTCATTTAATCTCAATGAAAGCTTAATAACCTTTCCCACCTCAGAACCAGAGGCCCCCTTTTTGACCTGGGAAAGATTTTGGGAGCCTTAGGTCAGGGGCGGGGAGACTTTAATATCAAACAATCATTACTGGATCCCAGTGGAAATCCAGAAGCAATTTTATGATATTAATGGCTCCCCTACCACCACCCCCCCATCCAGAGGCTCCCAAAGTTTTTTCCAGGTCAAAAAGCAATCCTAGAGAACCTTGGGGCCTGAGATGAGAGTAGTTATGAACCTTTCATTTAAATTAAATTAAAGGGTAACAATACAGGCTGATGGCACCATTGCCGTTTACACCTGTTTAGTTCCTTTTATTGGATTTCAGCCATTGCTAGACAGACTGATTGTCCCATACAGTAGCTTGATATATACATATCCATCAGAATACAGTTGTGTATGTTTGTATGGTCTTTTCTTTTCAGTCAAAAAGATAGCAAGTTTAGATATGCAAAAGGATGACAAATGTATTAAAACAAAAATATCACAGTTTAAATCAAAATGAGTAGTAAATACTACGAAAACCATGAAACCTGTAAAATATTTACTGGTGTGTTTTTTAAAAAAATAATTTTCTTTTAGTAAATTTGTCATCCATATCCTTATTGTTGAAGAATATTTTATAGATTACGATTCATAGTTTCCCTTGCGTATAGCCATCTGTTTATCTTTCAATTAGATGTTCATATGCTCTTCCATAAAACTGGGTTGCCTTTTTTGTTATTCCTTTTAAAAAAAGAGAGAAAGATGGAAAAGCAAGCCTTTTTATGAAGCAATCTTTTTTTCAAGACTACTTTGTGTCTTAGGGGAAAAAACGGTTATCAGATGAAAGTGCAAGGTCACTCCGTGTAACCAATTAAGAGTAAAAAGTAAAAGGGAGGTGGGGTGAGAAGAGGTGATAACAGAAATGTAGATAGTTGTTTTAGAGAGGTAGTCTGTGCTAGTAGATCAGACCAAAACAAAAGAACAATAAAAAACGAAGAAGAGAAAAACGTTGTCGCACTTTAAAGACTAACAGCCATATTTTAATGTGAGCTTTCGTGGAGAAGTCCCCTTTCTCAGACATAAGTGTAGGAATACAGGTGTAGCTTTTGAACCTAATCTTGTAGCCATATAGGAATGGTCACGTACCCAGCTCAACTAGACATGGAACGCCATTACCACCTTACGAGGTGGTACCTATTTATCTACTCGCATTTACATGCTTTCGAACTGCTAGTTTGGCAGGAGCTGGGACAAGCGATGAAAGCTCACTCCGTTGTGTGGATTCGATCTTACGACTGCTGGTCTTCTGACCATGCAGCACAGAGGCTTCTGCGGGTTAACCCGCAGAGCCACCACGTCCCTTATATATACTTAGAGAACATGTATTTTGGAAAAGTAATTGGTTTCCATGACCCTTAACGATGTTTTAAAGAGTTATTCACAACCACTACTTAGGATTTGCCTGCTGCTTGAAATGAAAACCATATACCTTCCCCCTGAGAATTACTGCCCCATGTGTACTTATGTGAGCATATAGGTTAATATTCATGTATCCATCCAGCACCCCCCCTCCCCATGCCAGAGGGCCCGTAAGTTCTGCTGTCTGAAGCGACCACACTATTAGCCCTAATCAGAGCATTGGCCCTACCCTTTCTCTGACATTAGCTAGAATCTTGTTGTGGATTTATGCCAGAGGCAAATTGCTGCTAATTAATGAGTTGCCACTTACATTCCCAGGCACATGCCAAGTGGCACATCAAGTCACACAACTGGTGTGTGACTGTAAATGTGAGTAGTGATTTGTTAAGTAGCGGCAATACAGTGAAGTGCTTAGACAATGTCTCGTGTAAATCCATGATAGGATTTTGGATACTGTTGAATCATACATTGCATTTCTGCTGATCTTCTCCATGCTTTTCATTCCATCATGGGGAGAACCTTGCTAGAACTGGCATAAGAAGCATAAACGTCCCTTAGAGGTGTGCCAGGCCCTCTCCCTCCAAGTATTTAGAAAACTAGCAAAGGTAGCATTCTTTAAAATTCCTTCAAGGATATACTTCCATACATAGAGATTTAGTACCCATGACACTTGTTGACCTCCTTTCTTGCTTATTGCCATATGGCTAATTTTTTCCCCTATCTTTGTTATGACTTTTTCCCTTTTTGTTATATTAGATTGTAGTGGGGGGAGGACAGATTGGGTTTGCTTGTTTTCACTTGTTTTCCGTGTTTGCTGTGAATGTCTGTGCTTAGCTTTATTTGTTTGGCATGGAGACGTTGGCCCAAATCAACTTTGTTTTCACTGTGCACGTCATGGTTCTTCTTCCTTCCCTGAAATTTGCACAAGGAAGTTGTCATTCATCACCCCCTTGCCCCAAGCAGAAGCCCCTTGCTTTCCACAGGATGGTCATGCCATTGCAAGGCGCAAGAGGATGCTGGACATGACACTTGTGCCATTATTATGCTCTCTGATGCTGGACAGAATGTTGTCCACTTTATGCACAGTGAGAAGAACGCCCCATAGGAGAGATGCATATGTTTATAACTTCTTGACTCTGGCTTTCAGGTTGAATCACGTCGGTGTTCATTTTCTTAGCACAGGTGCAGCAGTGAACAGCAGCGAAAGTCTCCCTCCATCCTCATCCGTCAATGACATTTCCTCCATGTCCACAGACCAGACCCTGGCGTCGGACACTGACAGCAGTTTGGAAGCTTCTGCAGGACCCCTCGGTTGTTGCAGGTGACTAGCCGCCTGCCTGCGAAACCCAACGTTCTTCAGAAGATGATGTAATTTAGTGGGAGGGAAATCATTGTGGTTATAGCAAAGAATCTGATGATGGCAAAGAAGAGAAAAATATAAAACAAAAAGAGAAAATTTAAATACTCATACACAAACACACACACACACACACACACACACACACACACACACACACACACGTAAGGATTAAACAAAAGAAAACCTTTTTCATCCTGCTTCTCCTAAAAGAGTTATGTAAATGCAGCTAAGCTCAAGTGTATATTTAACGTATAGTTGCTCTGCTTTGATCTCCTTCCGATGATGCTTACTGCAAAAAAGAGGAAAAAATATATAAAAGAAGCCTTTTTTCCCCATACAATTGCAAAATTTAGTGGCTGCAAAACCAGCAACCTGCAACTGTCCTTTTTCACGTTGGCATGACAAGGTGGGCAGTCCCTTCTCTTTATATGTATACATGTGTGCCTATCTAACCCCTCTCTGTTTCTGTGTTGGGCAGATAAACAGAGAAATGCACATGTCTCTTGGTGTACATACATGCAAATATGCATTTAAGGACATAAATGCAGCTGAGTGTGTACATATATATATACCAAGTAGGAATCTTTATGTGTACACAAAAGCCTGCAGGGAACAACAGCACCTCCTGTGTGTTTTTTTAAAATGCAAATTTCACCTGTAATATAATTTCAAATGTACAGTCCTTTTAGCTGGTCCATGGGTTGATTTGAATTAGTTAAAGGCTGCAATCCTATACCCATTTAACTGGAAATAAGCCTTACTTGAACTTAGCCAGATTCAATCTCTAAGAAGACGGGTGCAGGATTGTGCTGTAAGTCATATAGAAATAAGGTCAAACCGAAGCTCTTTCAGAATTTTGAAGGATGCAGAGTTCTAAATGTCATTTTTAAAAAGCAGCAACCTATTGGAAGGAAGAATATAGAAGGCATCTCTGCTGGGTAGTTATTAATGCTGATGCATTAAGAGTTGATTTTTAGAATGAGTGTGTGTATGTATGTATGTATGTATGTATGTATGTGTACTTCTGTGCTGAGTTGAACAAAACTGTGTGATTATTACATTTTTTTCCCCAGAGGTATTTTTCCAGCTAGTAAAAGACTAACTGGTTTGACTCGTAATATATAACTTTCCTCTCAATCATCTTTTGCATTTAATCTGCTTGCTTTGTGCTTGGTTATTAGAAAGTAAATGTGGGCTTAACTTGCAGATCTGATTGTTCAGGCGCGTATCTGTAAGTAAACCACACTGTGGGAGAGAAAAGAGATTAATCAGAAGAAGCCTATAATTTTTGGTTTCACATTATGAAATGTGAAGGTCTGAGGAGAGAAACCTACTGCTGTCATAGCTTATTTGTGGCTTTCCTAGCGTATGTAAATGTTTCCACTGTCGGAAGGAAGGTACTGTTTTTTCGTCTGAACCAGCAGGAATCATCTGATATTCTTAGATCAGCCAAGGATTTGTACAGGCCCTATCTTCAGATTCTTAAAGTTGTCCCATTTAGTTTCCATCATAAGAACCATCATAATTAGGCCATAAAAATAAATGTGTGTTAACACTTTGATTTCCTAGACAGTAGTCTACCCAACAGAGGATGTTGAGAAAATTTTGGTAGCTCAGATGAGGACCAAACCTCAGGCACCTCTCTTTTCCTTATGTGGCCCTGAGAAGATAAGTACTAGCGGATGTCTTCCTTCCTGGCAGAAATTGTGTCTGGGGTTTGGAGGTGAAGAGCGACCAAGCTGCTGTATCAGTCCTGAGAAGCAAATAATGGGTAAATAGGACTCAACAATTCGCCCTTTTTAAAGCCCCATAATTTCCCTGGTCTTGTCAAATTCCAAATACGATTTTCTGGAAAGTCTTTGATAAAAGATAGATGGACATTTCCTGCAACCATGAAGGTCGTCTCTTGCAAATAAACTCATTGTAGCTGTATTTCTGTGCATGTAGAATGTGCCTGTTCCAGGTGAGGAAAATCCAGTTCTTTAAAAATGGTGTTATGTGTTATGTAAATTTATTTCTTTCATAGGTAGCTGCATTAGAGAAATGAAGGTCTGGAGCACTACCAGTTGAGGCCTGTAAGGCAATGAATGGCTTCTAAGAAACTTGTTTGAGCTGTTTCCTTTGTGAGAACATTGAATGGAGAGTAGTAAAATGCTTAGCTTGTTTCATGTTTACCTTCTCCTTCACTGCTAACCTCACACCTCTTTGTTCGAACAAATAGTCTTGAAACACCCCCCAGTTCAACACTATGCGAGATTCTGCATGCAGTCTCTTAATATAGTCCAACAGGCCCTTGAGTGCTACTGGTATGTTTAAAAGACAGTGTTGTGTGACATAAATTTTGTGCAACACCAACAAAGGAATGTGACTGACATCCGTAGATTGATAGACATCGGTCTCCATTCAGTTTACCCTAGCTGAGGGCTATGGCAGTAGAGAAGTGAGAGTGGTTTGGAGTAAGGATGTAATTCATGTCTGTCACTGGGTTCTGTCCCTTTTCCTGCTGCCATTCTGCTGACCCTTAGCAGGTCAACAGTATGCTGTGTGCACTTCACTAAACCCATCCATTGCTGAGACAGCCAATATGTCAGCTGTTTTCTTCAGCCCTAGTGCACAGATTCTATAGACACCTTAGTGCACAGAAAGATCGTGAACCGAATGGGTGTCTGTCCTGATCTAGATTTCATATACTTCCCTAAACAGAAATTTGTCTAGGAGACTAGAATAGGGTTTTCTGCCACTCTGAAATGGCAGGAAAAATCATAACGATTCTTGCTAATATATTTTTGTAATTACACTTGATTCATATATCTTATAAATCATTGTTGGCAGACTCTAGTTGACTTATCAGCGGAGCATAAAATACTATCAGTGTAGCTGCAACAGATTTCCACCCAATCTCCCTTGCAAAGTTGAAAAGTCTGGAGGTTGACCATTGATACCGATGGGCTTAAACGTGCTCCAGGAAGCACTGCATACCACCTCCTACATGCTACATAAATGTCATACTCCTCACAAGATGAGGAGTTGTTGCATGAGTGGAATAAACCCATGGGATGCTGCCTCTGAAGACTAAGCTAGTTGCCTTGCTTATTTCTGACATGGTTGAATCATGTGAAGCTAAACTGAACTTAAAATAAAATAACTACATAAGCACAAATGATGTTCCCATGAAGACAATGAAATACTGTATGTAGATAAGTAAATGTTCCCATGAAGACCACAAAATATATAGATATCTAAAAAGAAATACAGTGGCACCCAGTATTGTTAAGTATGCTTAAACCGACCAGCATCACACCGATCTAGACTTCAGATAATTGTCTAGTGAACGATAGCTATTAATCTAGCCATTAATCAATTAATCCCTGAAATATTTCTATCCATACAACTTTCGTTTGACTTGCTAAATAAAGAAGTGGGTAAGCTGTTTTATTTTATGTTAAAGGATCGGAAAGGTTTGGTTAGTGAGCGAGTTAGTACAGTATGTATAGCAGCAATAAGCAATAGGTTACTACTGCAATAATAATAATAATGATGATAATGATAATGATAATAATAATCAGCAATATAGGGGGCAATATGCCAAGTACTCCCAGTATGTCCTAGCCATCTGAGTATTAGGTGAAGAGGGAGTAGATGCATCTTCCACTGAAATGAAGTTACAAAGCAACAGTGCTTGATTTATTGCCCTGTATTCTTCCTAAAAGCCATGGAATTATATTACCTGCATGTGGCACTGTAGCCCTAGGCTCAACGCAATGAGGTCCCTGTGCACAAGAAATGGGAGTGCTTAACACTGGGGGTGCCACTGAGGCAGTAACACAGGAATGATGTTCTAAGCAATAATGGCATCTATTAGCTGTGTATTTTCTTGCCTGGTATGAAGGGCAATTGAAAACCATATTCAGCTGTTCATCCTTCTGGTGCTAATACTACTAGGAAACTGGAAGCTGCCAGAACTGAACATCATTAGAAGATGTGCTTGTCAGTTAAACGTAGGGGCCACAACCATAAGAAAAGCTGGAAAGTCCAGATAGTCAGATAACTCAGGTTAGTGATCAGCCAATCATATGGTAAGGCACTTGTGCATAGAAAGTACATGTATGATAGAAAAGTAGTTGCTGTTCGGTTGTACCCAGTCTGAAAACTGAAATGAAGGTGTGGGTTAAATATGAGTATAAAAAGAGCAACGGGCATTTTGACCTTATTTCCTAGCTTTGTAGTCAATCAATATAAACAATATGATTTGTATCTCTGTAGGACATTACAGTTAAAGAGCTTCTTTGTGTTGTCCTGATTGGGGGAGGGATGGCATCTGGCTTGACACCAACACAGACCACAAATCAGCAGTGTGATTTAGCAGCAGGTGTTGTCTTTGATGGCTTTGACTAAGGGACCCAGGCCACCAGTAGAAATACTAAGGATACATGGAGACCTCCATTTTCTCCTTTCCATTTTCATGTTGTAACCTTAAATCTGTCCCTGTAGGAGATGACAGCTCTAAAAAATTACTGCTTGATTGCTGCATTCTTACATCAAAATTAAGGCTGCTCACAGAACACAGAGCAAAGTTGGCAGGTGAGACATGGCTCACCACAACCATACAGAAACTTCTAGATGCCTGCAACCCATCCAACTACAAATAAATGAATTAATTATTACTTAGTATTTTTCACTGTTTACTTCCCTCATATTTCTTAGTGGCTTTAACTTTTATATCTGCAGATAACTCCAAATTCAAGTTAAGTTTTGCTTCAGATGGAATTTGGAGACTACTTAAGGCTTTTCTTTAGGGTCCCACAGTGGTGGCGCTGTGGGTTAAACCGCAGAAGCCTCTGTGCTGCAGGGTCAGAAGACCAGCAGTCGTAAGATCGAATCCACGCGATGGAGTGAGCTCCCGTCGCTTGTCCCAGCTCCTGCCAACCTAGCAGTTCGAAAGCATGCAAATGCAAGTAGATAAATAGGTACCACCATGGTGGGAAGGTAATGGCGTTCCGTGTCTAGTCGCGCTGGCCACGTGACCACGGAAACTGTCTTGGGACAGAACGCTGGCTCTACGGCTTGGAAACGGGGATGAGCACCGTCCCCTAGAGTCGGGCACGACTGGACTAAATGTCAAGGGGCA